AATAGAAATTTTTTTTCTCAATGGAATTAAACACATTGGCCCTACAAAACATTTCAGCAGCTTTGGGAAAATGTGGACATTTGTCATTGATTTTTCATAAATATGGGGCAGCCCATGTGACGACGACATGGTGCATTGGAGAGTGGAGTGCAACATCTTTCTTTTAGCTAGTCAAACTTAAAAGGACAGTCGTATCCTTTCATGGTCATCTCCCTTATGAAGAATATTCCACCAACAGTAAAATATTCTCAGTCATTTTATAAGCAATGTATGAGCCACTGGCACCAGGGACTCTTCAGGGAGCAAGAAGCAGGCAGTCTTCTTAGCCACATATGTGAGGAGGTATTTGTGATTCTCTTAAGTTATTTGTAATGCCAGAACTGACTGAAAGAGAAATACATGACATCGTGCTTTTTGCAGTGCAAGCTATGTCATCTGTAACCTTGGTGAGCAGCCAAATGCTCACCCAGCCACTTGCCAGCTACCCTACTGAACAGAACCAAGGTAGAAAACAGAGAGAAAAAAATCAGAATTACAGATCAAAATAAAAAAAATCAAAATACAGAAAGGGAGATTACCATTAAAGGCAAGAGACTCAACTTGGGGCAAATTAAAACAATTTCTTGTCAATTATAATAGATTCAAACAGAGAGAAACTTCGGTCACTTCCTTCTCCTGCTTCCTTGCAGAAAGGCAGCTCCCTGACCAGATTCTTCCTCCTCCCTCACTAAATGATGTTATGGACCTGTCAATCTCTGCTACCACTTTTTGACAGCTGGGATGATTATTGTGCATAGGATTTGGGTGCCTGCCTTAGCCATGGTGTCCTCAAGTGCGGAGACTCTCCTTCCTCTGCTGTGATGGAGCTGAAAAAGGCTCAATAGTCTCAGTGCTAAGGAACCGAGGGGTCTCATTGGGGTAGGCAAAGCATTCCTCTGTCAAATGCTGTACCAATTCAGTGGGATTACATGTGTGTTCTGCCATAAAATCCCAGGCCTTGGAAGGTGATATCTGCCCTAAGCATCTGCCAAAATCCTTCCACATCCCTGATGCCCAGGGATTGACCACATCAGGTCACATTTCTCTGTCAACTCACCAACAAGTTGTTTACTCTTGCACTTGGACGCAGTCAAGTTCCATCTATCCAGAAATATCAGGTAATAGGACTTTACAGAGATAATGCCTTGTCAATATTTAAGAAAGTGTGAATTTAAATGCCAAAACCACTATTTATATTGGCTTCTGAAGGGGGAGCCGTCAGAAAAAAATTCGCCACAGTAGGTATTCTGAAAGTTCCATCATCCTATGCTGATTGAGTTTTATTAGATACATAGAAAGAACAGACTTGCCCTTCAAAATGGGTTGACAGCAAAGAATCCAACCACAACTTCACTGCTAAGCATTCAAACTTTGAGAGACCACTCTACTGACACTTAAAATTTATAGTTCTACAACAGCCTATACAGCAGCATTAATGGGGACTGCAAAGCATCAGAAAGCCTACAGAAGTAAAGCAGTACCTATCCTTTACAAAGGACTGTACTGAAAAACAGCATTTGCACTAATATAACCCTTCCTTTGTAAAGTTCCTCATACTTTTACACAAACCATTGAGTGTAGGAGTTGGAGAACAAATCGTGAAAGAGCATTTTAATTTCCAACTATTCATCTAAAAATTTCTCTTCTCCAATGACCTCAGAGCATCTCCTAAAGCTGGTTATTTCGTTGTTTTTTCATCTGCTTTGCATTATCCATACAGATACTGAAAAGTCTGTTACATGCCTTTTCTTGATGCATGATCTCAGGGGATATATAGGAGACTCAATAATCTTGCAAAATTCTCAGAAAATCTAATTGATGCTTATAAAGTAATATAAAACCCAGTGGCCTGCATAAACATGATTAGATACATGAGGTTGAGCATCTTCCTACATAATCTCTTCACATCAAAACTAATTTCTGCTAAAAGAGCTATCACCTGAACTCCCTTAAGAGTAAATTTTTTGCATAATTTTTGCCTTTACTTACTCCAATTCTATTATTTCTTTTTATACAAAAAGCCATAACCAAGTTTTGCCTTCTTTCCCTTTCATTAACAGTCCCTTTTAAAATTTGTCATCATCAATTCTTAGTTTAATAAATTTTCTCACTCATTCTCTGCTACATTTCTACAGTATTGATTTCAGAATATCTGCCATTCTGCCTCAGGCAGGATTGTAACCTCATCTATTGTACTGTCTTAATTCCAGCTCCCTTCAGATTCAGAAAGAGGAATTCCCTTCTCACTAAAATTACAGACTCCCACTTCCAGTAGTAAAGGACACTGAACTTAGGACTAAACTGAAGTCAAATTTAGGTCCCAGCTCTCTTTCTGATAGCATGAATTTAGTTAAGCTAAGCTGTTCCTGTCTGCTTTGACAAATAGCAATATTGAAGATGTAGCAGGAGTAGAACTATTTAGCCAGGTGTTCCTTTGCAAAGGCTCCCTCTTTACAGTGAGTCAGAGCAGAGTATGGGGTTGATAAAATGCAGCTGATAATAAACCTGTGGGTAAACTAAAGACTTTGTTTAGCTTATTATTGAAAAAAAAAAAAATCTTGATTTCACATTCACTTCCACTTCCCTCAATTAAAAGCATGTTCTTAAAAGGCTCTTAGTTTTTTGCTTAGCTGGGTACTTGAATAAAAAAGACTGAATAGCACATCAAAGTAACGTTAATGTGTGCCTTGGTTCCTGTTTGTATATAGATGACCAAATTCATAGCACTGCAGTTCTACTGCAACTTACTTATTCACAAGTTCGCTAATTTGCCATTTTTTAAAATCACTTAATTAGGACAATTCAAAGAAAATTTCTTTTCTTTTAGTTCTGCAAGCACATAAGAACATGTGCAAGCTCCATAATACTTTTTTTATTTCAACCAGCTGATATGCACAATCCAGACTATGCAAAGCAATAACCAGCCTGTTTTACAACTGACAGAACCCACTCAGCCCTAAAAAGGAGTCTCCCATACTCAACTACCAGCATGAAGGAAGGGTATGTGACAATCTACCTGAAAAATACATTGTGATTTCCAAAGAAATTCCATTTAATAGGTGGGCATTTCTGACAAAAAAAAAAAAAAAAAAAAAAAAAAAAAAAAAGCTCAGAACTACACTGTTGGACAAATTCTAAGAAAAACAACTAAAATTTATGGACCAGTGTTATGTTTGATAAGGGCTCAAAGTCAAAATTTAAAGCTTAAATATTCCACATATTCACAGAGGAGGGGATTGAGTGGCCTAATAGGAAACCAAGGTTTGTGGCTTAATGTAGGATGTTTAATTTATTTGGTTCTCAGTATGATCAGCATCAAGAGGGAGCACCAAAATCAGTGAACAATGAGACATTGCTGCAGTGGCAATACATGAAGAAAGCACAGTGTTGCCCAAAGCTTCAGGATGTTTACTAAAAGACCAGGGATGCTGTCACTCAGACTAATTTTATTATATTCAGTTTCTTCTATTCACTGAAAACCTGTACATAAAATGTGTCACTCCCAAAGCCTTCCATTTTTCATTTCAACTGATGCAAACTAAATGATGCACTTGAAGCACACATGCACAATCTGGAACATATAATTTTCAATACACCCTTACTCTTTGTTTCATTTTAGTGCTGATGGTTGTCCAAATGTGCTACATCTTACCTTCACAATCTTCTAGAGATATTCTAGAACCTCAGCTTCAAATAGATAGCAAACAAGGACTGCAACAAAAAATTTATGAGAGTGACTTAATGCTTTTAGTCTATTCCTTAGGCCAGAGTAGGTATCTGACTTGTAGAAATCATAACTGTGGGTTTTGAGGAGCAATACAGTCAGGGGAAGACAATACCACAGCAGAGAGAAAAAGGAGAGGATCTCAGTCACAAACGCAGACACAAAGACTTTAGGGAAAGAATGGGACAAAAAGAAGTCAGGATCAAATGACAGCAGAAGCTAGGTAGACAGGGAAACAAATGACAAAGGACTTGAAAAAAATAATTTAAATATTCCTTCAGTGAATGTTAAAATTACAAATAAAGAAACAGAGAGTAAATAGAAGGATTAAAGCAGACATTATCAACCAAACATGGAAGACAGAAAATATGCATCCTCATCATTTGAGCAATGTTCAAGACAGAAAAATGGACAAAGACATTGCAGAAATCAAGGCGAAAGTCAAAGAAGCCTCAAAATAAGAATTGTCATAAATATGGAATGGTGAATAACATATGTGATGGAACTATACACACACCATATTTCAGAGAATACCTACAAAGATAAACTCTAGTAGAGCAAAGCAACCATTCTCATTTTGATAAAAACAGCCATTTTCTGTCCAACACACATCTGCACTGTTACTCTGGTTATATAAAAACACACATATATACTCATTTAGCCATCAGCAAGTCTGACATTTTAAAAGCCAAACTAGCCTGCATAATATAAGTGCCTCAGCTTTCAACAGCAAAGATCAGAGTAAAGTGTACAACTGAGAATGCAAGGTTGTAATCATGACACTGGAAATAAGTTCCAGAAATCAAAATCACTTTGTAATTGGAGTTACAAATTATGAGGGGTCATCCTTACTTAAACACATAAAATTTGTCACATGCCACAAATCACATACTGAAACCAGAATACTTCACTCCCTACTTCAGGTCTAAAAAATCTGTCCATGAAACATCCCTCTAGAGTGTGCAAAAACACAAAAACAATAATGTCACATATCCATGTAAAAGAGTTAGTAATTAACATTTAGTTCAGGAAAAGCTATCACCACTGATCAAGCTGGCATACATCTTCATATCTCCTTCCTGAGAATCTTCCCTACCACCTTGACACTTCTTTTCATGCTGTCGAAAATTAAATATGGAAATCACCAGTAGCCTAAGCTGAACAGTTCTGAAATCAAAAGCCTGCCTGCAGGATGAGAGGGAGAGGACAGGCAGAGAAAGCACGCTGAAAGCCTTACCTTCCAATGAGCAGGAACTCCCCGAGCACGCCCAGGCGCCGCATGGCGATGAGGATCCCCCTGACTGTCATTCCCTCGCAGAAGCACACCACCACCCTAGCCTTGGGTAACCTCTCTCGCAGCTTGCGCAGCAGGCGATCAAAGCTCTTCTCGCCAGCGTTGCTGTAGATCTTGTCAGAGTGAGCAATGCAGAGACCTTCTTGGGCAGCCAACTCTTTGAAGGCTTCCATTCCACTTTCCCCATAATTTCCTATTTAAAAAAAAATATTATATAATGCATTTAACTAATTGAACTGTGATGGGAAAGTGATAGTTTCCCCCTCCAAAATCAAGCAACATTAGCAGAAGGAAGAGCAAAAGAGATCCATCAAAGTGAATCTGCTCAGAGTTCAGTGGAGCAACAGGATATCCATGTATCAGTAGGTATTAACAGAACAGGAGACTGCAAGTTTCTTTTCTTAGGTTCACTTAACAACGAAGAGTAAAGAGGATATTAAACAAGGAATGGATAGGTAGAAAAGGAGACAGATCAGACAGTAAGAGTGAAGTTTTATTAACATTTCTACAGCAAAACCCACAGCCGAGCTAATTTAGGAAAACAGTAATAGGAAAGGGAAAAAAGGATTTACTTCCAAGCTGTCTGTATAACATGCAGTCCATGTTCACAAAAGTGAATGAAAGATGGATGCACATTTAAAATACGCTGTGTTTTTACACACGGTAACATTTTCAAAGTCACACTAATTTGACCAAGCAATGTTCATGACAGCTAAAATTTAGGCTTGATGATGCCTCTCTTAGAATAGGAGACTTTCTAACTGAAAGAACTTCAGAAATAACCCTTTCCAAGACAGAAATATTTGAAGTGTGGTTCAAAGTATATATAAAAGCTGATTCTCAAATTCACTTCTATTTATACATTCAGCAAGCCAAAACAACAGTTTTACAAAACTTAGAGTGCCTTCTGCTATGGAAACAGGTGAAACCCCAAGTTTTTTTTGTAATATTTTCTGCCTGACATGAGCACAGGACTCATGATGAACACCCATCACATAAGAGGAAGAGATGGATTAAAAAAACCCCATATCTATTAACTGTAACAAGAAATTATTCAAAAAGAGAATCATTAATTTAATGCTATCCATATCCATAATGTTTCTTTCACTTAATGAGGGAGTAATTTCAGATATTCTGATCACTTCTAGACCCAGACCTTTTCAAGCAAGGGATGATTGAAGAGGTCTCACTTCTCTGTTTTCAGCAACTGTTTGAAATGGCAAATTGCAAAGAGGAGGACTTCTGAATAAGCTGAAATTTCTTCACAAAAAAAAAAAAAAAATTAAAAGTCCTCAAAAGTATAGCCATCAGAAAGGAAATGCAGCAAGAAACAGTTCAGGCACTCTGTATAAACCCAGTAGAAATATGTACATTTTTCCAAAAACATGGATCATTTGCCACAGATCAGCACCATGCAGACACACTATGACAGTCATTGTCATACTAAGTTGCAGACAAACCTGACAGGTCTAGTGTCAAACACAAAGCTGAAGTTCCCCAACCCTTTGCACTGAGCTGCTCCAGTTTCTCATAAATTTGAAGCGTGGAAGAATGACCTGTTTTCTAGCCTGTGACTCAACATCATATTCAGCAATCAGGTCAATTCTGCTTTTTTTTTTCTGTGAGCCAGAGGTACTCCAGTGCAGCAGTCCTGCCTGGGTATGGGGAGGAGAAGATCTGTGCCTGGTGGGAATTCACCACAAGAAGCCCAATCCCACAGCCCTGTACTTGGATAAACACTGTGGCCTTGTCATGTGCTGAGAATGACACAGATGGAGGCATTTCCAGGTATTTATAGGCCAGGACCTGCAGTCACCAAGGGACTTGCTCCAAGGCAGTACAGTTTGAGCCTTGCTGCTTTGATGACTTGCCTCAAGTCCCAGAATGAGGTAGGACAACCTCACTCCTAACTTGCCATTAGCAAGAACTTTATGCTTCAGAATGATATATTTCCCAATTTCATGTGGGACTTTTTTCAGCAGAGATTCCTTTGAAATCAGTAAGGTTATTCTTAAAGTCTTATCTAAGGAGGGACAGGAGACTAAACTGAATCCTATTAGATGTTTAGGCAGTGCATATTAAAAAAAACATATAGCAAGTTTCCTACCCAAACTTTAAGGAAGGGCTTTGTTATACATCAGTAAAGCACTATTTCTGCAGTAGTTCAAGTTAATGGTTGCAAGAAATGAAAAATTAAATCCTTTTGGAATGATTTTTCTCAGCTTTAATTTTGATAAAATAACAATTGTCTCAAACATAGTCAAACCCATACTAACAGTACAGAAGCCTACCAAAACATATGCTAAGAGAAAGATTGATGTCTATAAATTCAGTAAGTGTGACAGAGAGTCTAGAAGGGAAAAAGCTCATTAAGATCAAGAGCAACATGAACACAAGATGGAATAGGGAAAAAACAAGGCAGAAAATATGCAGCTCCAAAGGAAAGATTTCCAATCCTTATATGAAAGTAGCATAACAGCTGTCCCAGTCCAGCAGCAGCACAAAGAATTCTGATGTTTGACTGGAGCTTGCTCAGCTCACAAGAGCATTATGTAAAGTAGGTTTCTGCAACAGCCAGAGATGAGACTTGGTGACCCTGGAGGTCCTCTTAAAATCTGTTTGCCATGCTCCCAGAGCAAGACAACGTGCTGCACATCTTTCCCCTCCAGGGAAAAAGATCAGAGAGAAAAAGAACGTGTAACATATGCTACATAGATTGCTCAATGCACCCAGTTACCGAGGTATGGACAATATAAGGGCATATATGGAATAGAAAACACCAATTAATTCTGTGCAACAGCCAAGAACACAGCCATCTGTACCAGCTTGGTGGGTACATCCATTTCAATCCACACTCAGACAGCTGAGAGGAGAAACCTGTAATCTCTTCCTGATTGTAGTCAGTGAAGAGTTACATCAGGGCCCCAGGCTAAGACCTTTCTTCCTTTGAAAGAGCCACTGAATAAAAGATCTAATCTTATCTGAAACTGCCTTTTGCTACCAGGATCAGCTGTGAAAGGCAAAATAATTATTATTGTGATTTCCTTTCTGACCTCTACCCAAAACTAGGTGAGACAGTAACATACTTTGAGCCCTACAATTGGGGCTCAAACAGCCCTTGCCGTTTTTTAACCTTTTTAATGGTCTGTTCTACTTGTACCCTAATCAAAAGAACACATATTTTGCTTATATGCTTCATTCAGACTTTGTAGAGCAGTTTAAAGGTGAATTCTAAACCTATCATGACTGTAATTTTACCAAGAGAGTTTTTATAACACTTTTCTTTCAGTGCCAAAGGAAGCTTTGCTTCACCACTGAGAAAATTCAAGATAAGGCCATTTCTGAGAGGGATCCACATATCTTAAGATGCTGCTGAGATTTACATATAGTGGTAATCATTCTCACTCATTGCATTACATGCCTTAAATATCTTAATAAAAACATTAAGACGCTGTAGTTAAAATCAGAGATGCTGTCTTGATCAACAGAGACATACAAAAGAAAAACTAACAAAAATTCAACTTCCTAAATTGTTCCTGTGAGCTGGTAAGTATTATCTTTGTGCCACAGCTATATTGAAACTAGCACTTTTTTGTTGTATTAACACTTTAGTAGTGTGGGGAGTAGAACCCATGAGCTCCATCTAAAAGGTTTATGTTCTTTTTTTTTTATTACAGCTGTTTGGCAAATTTGTCCCCATTCTCTTTATGAAGAGAACCATTTGTTTTTCATTTATGAAATGGAGCAGAAACAGCTCAGCAGTGAGGTGCTTATGAGAATCCTGGAGACTGTTTTCTTAAGGGATGCATAGAATATTTGTGTGGGTCTTCCCAAGCCATATAACAGTGTGTTGTGTTTTCAGGAGGCTTAAAAACAAAGCGATGTGTCCCACATAATCTCTATCTTTGAATGAAATCAGCCATTGATTTATTTGAGCAATAACATAAGGAAATATGAATCATTCATATTTGAGCTGAACAGAACATTTCCTTGAAATATAGGCTAATCACCATTTTAAAAAAAATCTTGAAGACCATAATGCTGAAGAGAAAGACTGAGATTCTTCTTTCTTGCTCTGCTTTAAGTGTCATTAGGAAATACCAACTACATTTTAAGGCACGTTTAGAGAAACACCTACAAAACCAACAAAACCCCCAGAAGATAACTCTGCCTGGAAAAATGCTCCAATGCACTTAAAATGACAAAAGGTAGGGAACAAGAGTAATCTCTTCAGGTGAGGTCACCTGTAGCTCACCACTAGGGGTTTATTTGCTGCATTTATTGCTCTAAACCATGGCAACCACAACCAGGATCAAAAGTGAACACACAAAAACTCCCATATACCCTTCAAGCACACAACAAAGGTAATGCACCAAATAAGAAAACCACAAATTCCAGTTTCACTGCAGGGTGCTACTTGCAGAGGCAAGTCATATTGCAAGAAAGTTCCCCTTTTCAAATTAACAAGTGAGAAACTATTTTTTGTCCTCTTCTTTCCTCTCTTAAGGTTATGATCTGTTTTTTTCACCTCTCCCAAGCTTGTAAATACCTTGCTGGAGGTATGAAATCTGTTTCATTGTTCAGTATTGATTCGCTACAAGACATCTCTTTTACTCAACTAATTAACTACCTTTTGGCAGAGAAAATAAGATGAGAACAAGAGGACTGTATGACATACCAGCAAGTAATAACTTTTTAAAATCTTCGCTGCTGCAAATTATTTGGGAAGAGCAGAGCAAGGACATGATCTGATTGTCAAGTTAGTCCCTGATATCTTGCAATAAGTAATTTGTAAAAACTAATGATATTATGAGATAAGATAGTAACTATACAGTTGTCAAATACAAGTCTGAAAAGACAGGAAAGTTTGGGACCACTGAACAGAAAAAAAATTAGGCAGAAAGAGCATCAGTTTTCTCTCCTATAATATGGTATGCCTCCCTATGCCACAGAAGCATCTTTGAGTAGGGTCAGTAAATAAGGAAAAAATGGAGTTCTCTACTTTTAATGTATTTGTTACAAGTACCATATGAAATAATCATGTGTATTCTGTTAGTTGATTACAAACTAAAAAACTTCAGCCACCAGATTTAAGCTAGTACATTAGTAGCAAGTTGGGAGCACATACAGAATCAGCTAATGAATCTGAAATTACAAGTAGTCACTTTCTAAGCTCTAATAATTCAACCACTC